GACCAGCACGCTCTTAGTTTGCGCGCCAACCTAAGGGACCCATCAGGACGCCTCGCTCGCTGGAGTCACCGACAGCAAGACTTCTACGTAACCATTGTGCATAAATCTGGCCGCAAGCATAACGACGCCGACTGTTTGTCTAGGGCCCTAGTCGAATCTCCTTCCGACAGCACCGACGACGACGATGACGACCGTTTTCTCGGCGCCCCAACGAAACGACCCGAACCTTCGCGCGGTGATCGACCACCTCGAGGGTCAAGGAAGTTTAGTTCCGCGAGTCTTGGCCCAAGAAATGTCAAGCTTCGTTCTGCGTCGAGGCGTGCTTTTCAAGAAGAACTTGGGAACCAGTAAACCTGACTGGCTGCTGGTGGTTCCTGCTGGCGTTTGAGAACAAATCTTTCAAGCATGACATGACGACCCGAGGGCTGGACACCTCGGCTACAGCAGGACGCTAGCCCGGATTCGTGACAAGTACTACTGGCCGAGACTCCTGAAAACGTCCATCTTTACCAGAGTGTCGAACCGATATTTTTATTGGTTCGGTTCGGGTTCGGGTTCACGGCTTTCGGTTCAGTTCCGGTTCAGTTCCGGGGCGCAAAAAATAACGGTTCAAACCGGTTCGAACCGGTTCGAACCGCTAAATTGAGAATATATTTTCCGTGTTGTTCTGTCAATAGGCGCTATTTAGGCCGTGAAACTAACTGCTGTAAACGATCTGATTTTTGCGAGGACCTATTTTTGAGAAATTCGCGAATCGCCTACAATTCGCGAAAAATAGGTCCCGCGAACAATTTCGGTAAAATGTAAACAGATTGAAATTTATATTGAGATTCCACCGCGTCGAGAAAATTACAACCCGCGAATTATCCCAAAACTTCAGCTTTGACCTAAATCGCGAAATATTGAGCCCACGAAAAATAGTCGTTTACAGTATATAGTTTTTTGTTTTGTTTTTATTGTTTGTTCAATTCAATTTTATTCTCAGGTACCAAAATTATAAAATTCTGTTATTTATTCCTACACATCAAGAAAGGAAAATCTACATTAACATACAAAACGTCGTGTTTATACGACTCAACATCCCTTCGTTTACCAGAGTCACATATATTGTTCCTGAATCGAAATGTTTTCGGAAGTGAAGTAGGTTGCCTAAAATACCCGTGATTGGTACAACTTTGTATCGCAGTATTAGATGTTGAATCGTGGTTTTGCCCTTGAACTAAGGAATTAATTACAGTGAATACAATCATGAAATGGGCACCTCGTCGCTATATATCATGAAATGTGTTTTACGGAATACGTTTCACAATATATATATGATGACGAGACGACTGAGCTTAAGGGAATATAATTTTCAAAATGTCACGAAAGTCACGGGACAAGTCCTTCCAGTCTATATTTTATAGGAACACTAAGCGACAATCGCAATGCTTGTTTTTCTATCTAGCATATTGTTTGCTCTCAGCACCATGATGCGGGCGACGAATCATACGAAAAGGAGTGGCTGAAATTGTTCACTCTAACCTATGAGCACCTTAGTACTGAGATCGAATCTGACCTAAAACAGTGCTTACCCATGTGAACACTTTCTTATATTGGATAAACTGGCATAGCCTGGATGTTGAGGTTTGCTCTTGACAAAATGCAGGTCAATTTAATTTGCAAATAAGCATCACCCTCGCTAATTGATGATTTTTGTTAAATAGAACAAAGTGGTATTTCATGCTCTACTGAATTCGGAAACTACCTAATTGGACACTTTCTGAGAGTTTGAGTGTGCAATCGTCATAGTTCCACCATTCGTTCCAGTAAAAAAAGGCGATAGTAAAAACACATAAAAAACGCGATAATAAACTTCTATATATTTGAGAAGTTATATATGCATGAGGAACACATATAGTTATTTAAATTAGCTTCAAAATAATAAAAAAAACATTATTTAAATCTTTTCAAAATCACCTATAACGTGTCTATAGAGGATAAAAGCGCCGAAAAATATTTGCCGAACATCTTTCAGATAATTTAAAGGCGCATTTACTTATATATCTTGGAGGTGAGAATCTTCTATTTATGCTGCCAAATCTTCAGACAGGAATTAAGTATATTTTTATAAGCATCGATAAATTTGACTTTATGAAGTTCACATAACCGCCTGAGACCGACACGGAAGGACGATACTCGAAAATACGCCAGCTGTTGTGTCTTCGGCAACGTGCTTTTGTTAGCTGTTTTGCAGTGTAAAATAGTGGGTTGCAGGGCATGCCAAAAAAACACTGTGGTCACATGATATATCGGAAGGCAAATACACGAAATGTGCAGAAATAAGGAGATGACACGCAATTTTTTTCTAAATAATTCCTTACACAACGCTTTACTGCAAAAAGAAATGCATAGAAATGCATAAAATGATATTCCTAATTAAACATAGATTCCGCGCAGGGCAAACAAAGATTTTCTAGAATCCTAATATAAATCACTTTTGGGCATCAGCTTGCCTCAGCTCGAAACGTCGCGGGATACTACCTCGGGAGGCTAATGTTATCTTAGGTTTTACGTGCACTTGTTTTGAGACCTTACTTCATGACTCTGTTCTTTATCAGTCATGTGCTCCAACATTTCATTAGGCTGCCGTATATCATCGCGAGACTACTATAAATACTACACAACTTTACACATTGGACGTCTACTGCTGGTGTTGCGAACGTCTCACTTCACCAGAAAGCTGAAGTATTTGACATGGTTTGCACGTGACGTAATCGCACTAGATACTGGTTGTCATTGCGAGTTGTTCTTGCTGAGAAAATCAAATCCGGTTTGGCAAAATGCACGCTGCAAAAGTTTCGCGCTCAGTGCAAGCTATGTATTTGAGAGGCACACATTTTTCTTGTTGGTACATCGTCGTTAGGCACGGCGCGAGTATCTGGCACGACGAAAACGTGCTTTCTGGCAAGAGTGTTTTTACAAATCAAAGTTGTACCAACTACCTTTCTGTCACTATCGTTTCCAGGCCACGCTTTCTAGTCTGCGCCGAAAATGTGGGGCAGAGGAATCTTTACGACACAGTATGCTTTAAAACTACCCCCCTCCCCACTCCCTTTTTTTTTAGTTGCTCCTCAAGATACTTTTTATTCCTCAGGGATTGCCTGCTCCGTATTGAGTGGTGTTCACTCGACAATTATATTTGTGTCACTTGTTAACAGTAATTCTTCCTTGCTTTAACTTTGCACCAAACTGTGAAGGTTAAACAAAATACAGGGCGGTCGAAACTTGGAGAACTTGAGAGCGACACTCCTGTGAGACTTAGAGCGCTGCCAACGTTCGGCTATCCCCGTGAGGCCACTAGGATCTTTCTTTTCAGGTATCCCTCCCGTACACACTAATAGTTCCATGTAACGTCCGACTAATACGTCACATTTAGACCCTTTAACACTTCTATTCTCGGGACAACTTTCTGAGGCAGTTCAGCAATAACGAAAACATGTTTGGGAGCCTCAATGGTGTGCATACATGTAAAATGGGTCGTACAGCATCTTTTTTTTTTACCTTAAGTTCAATAAATACCACTAAGTTGTAATCCTTGACTTTGATAACTTGCAAAAGCATCCATTAGTTTGCCCCTCCGCAAAATGGCAGACAGTCGAAAGAAAGAAACGAAACAGCTTTCCCCTCCTCAACTCACAATTAGAACTATCAGCTACGTGATCTGATCCTAATATATACACCGTCAGTGTTTATCATAGTCACACGCAGGGTTGGCAAAGCAGAGAGCATGGGCTGATCTTCAGATATAATTTTAGTTGGGCTATAATGCCCGAGCCCCACTAAAGCGACAAACAGAAACAAACGACAGCGGCTAGCCTTAAACCAGAGTATTTCGCGATTTGACAGGCTTTGTAGAATAAAGAAGGCTATGCTCAAACACGAGTATCATGCACACGATGGTACCATTTGCAGGCTTGTAAACACTCGTGCTAACTTCGCGAGCACCGAACAACTCAAAGCTGTATAAAGGTACCATCGCGAACATGCTGCATGTGTCTGAGGCTTGTCGCTTTCGTTTGTTTCTGTTTCTAGCTCTAGTGGGACTCGGGCCCATCATAATCTTTGAGTTGAACACGAGCGTTACCCGAATGTTTGACGATACTGGTTGTCATGAACCAGAGCATTTGACTCGGGATCATGACAATCGGGTACATCATGGTGTCACGTGACTCTCAGTGCGAAGTTGTGATGTCATGTGACGTCACGGTATTAACAACGTTAATAGATCTAGCGACGTCCTCAATTCGAATCGACTTAACGCGGTGAGTCACGTGACGTCACGGGGTCACGTGATGTGACATTACTTGACAGCATGTCTTGACATCATGACGTCACGTGATATTGTGACACATGGCTAATCATAGTGCCAATAAGAAAGCGCCGCAAAAAACCAGAATTTATTATACATTGCAATTCTGTATATGACGATTTGATCAATACGTAGAGGAATACACGTGCCAATAATAATAAATTTGTAATACTAACAAAAAAAAATACCGTGAACCGTTTTGAACCGGTTACCGTTATATTTTTTTCCGGTTCAGTTCCGGTTCAGTTCCAAGATGGCGGCGAGGATTTCGGTTCGGTTCAGTTCCGGTTCGGCTAAAAATAACGGTTCTGTTCCGGTTTTCGGTTCGGTTCGGTTCCGGTTCGACACCCTGATCTGTACACACGATCCTGCCGTGAGTGCCAACGACGTAAATAGCTTCCGACGAAGCCAGCAGGACTTCTGCAGCCGATACCTGCCCCGACTACGCCCTCCCAGCAGCTTGGAATGGATTTACTTGGGCCGTTCCCAACGTGGGCGCAAGGAAACTGGTGGATTATCGTGGCGACCGATTACCTTACACGATACGCCGAGACGAAAGTCCTTCCATTAGGAACAGTGGTTGAAGTCGCCAAGTTTTTCGTCGAGTCCATTCTCCTTTGACAGAGCGCACCGGAAGTGCTGATCACAGATCGCGGGTCATCTTTCGTGGCAGATCTGACTCAAGAAGTTCTTCGGGTCAGTCACACCAGCCATCGACGAACCACCGCTTATTATCCACAGACCAACGGGCTAACAAGCGGTTCAAAAAGACGATCGCCGACGTGATCTGTTTTGGCGTATTACACCATGATGCAAAACCAACTAGCCCAACTAGCCATCCTTATTCAGATTATTTCGTCTACAACTACGCCGCGTCCTGTCTAGTTCTCCCTTCGTTTTTTGTCCCTGCTGTTTTGGCGTATTACACCATGATGCAAAACCAACTAGCCCAACTAGCCATCCTTATCCAATTTATTTCTTCTACAACTACGCCGCGTCCTGTCTAGTTCTCCCTTCGTTTTGTGTCCTTGTTGTTTTGGCGTATTACACCATGATGATCTCCACGTACGTCAACGTAGAGGACAAGACCTGGGACGAGGTGTTTCCGTACGTCACGTTTGCGTGCAACACAGCGGTTCATGAAGTAACGGGAATGACACCGTTCCAACTGGTACACATCCGGACAGTTACCACGACGCTCGACGCCATGCTGCCTCACGTGCCGGCCGATGATGGCAATGACGACGCTCAAATGATCTCGCAACACGCGGAAGAAGCTCGCCAACTGGCAAGAATCAAGATTTATGACCAACAGCGAGTCGACTCATGCCGGTATAATCTTCGTCGCCGGGACGTCCACTTTCAACCCGGAGACCGGGTATGGGTGTGGACACCGATACGGCGCCGCGGTCTCAGCGAGAAGCTTCTCAAACTCTATTTCGGACCCTACAAAATCATCCGACGCCTCGGCGATCTGAACTACGAAGTTCTACCCGACGGAACGTGGCCATCTGGAAGACGGCAGCCACGACCCGAGGTGGTGCACGTCGTCCAACTCAAGCGATATATTACGAATGATAGAACTTTGGACTCTCGTCAAAGTGTGAATGGTGAACTGTGAACTGTGGCTCGCGAATCTGCTATCCTTTTGCTGTGGATCTGTGTTTCTGTTTTGTGCTGCATCAGGACAATGCACTTTCTTAAAGCGGGGAATAATGCCGCGAGCGCCGCTGACCGAGCAGGCAGCGCGCTCGTGGCCTAACGGTTATCGCGCGTGCATTTCACGCAGAAAGCCAGGGTTCGATTTCGATTCCTGGCCGCGGGCACGCACATTTGTTGACTGAATGTTAGGGTAAATTCGAGAACCGTATTGCTGATTCGAGTTTAGGATGTTCTACAAGCCCAACCTTCTACGCCGATTGTTCCAGAAGCCCTCGCGTGTACAAAAGGTGCTCCGCATGGCAAGCCGGAGTCAGTTTCGCCTCAGCGTTCGATCCTGCAACGCTCTGTTGTTATTTTCGTCCTTTTTGTTTTGGGGAGAAGTTCGCCCCATTAAAGATTTAGTTTCCTCAGTTATTCTTTGTTTCATTAACTCTTCATTCGTTACAATATATGACTCAATTTCCCGGGCCACTGTCTCTTGGGCGGAACTATCGTTAAGGGAACCCACAATATGGCTGCACTTTTATAATTGATCAAGAATGCACAAGCTCGCGCTTTTCTTTTTGCATATATGGTATATTGTTGTTATTCTTTTGCATACCCAGCTGGAAAACCTAAAACTCCGGTAAGCGAACACTCCAACGCCATATTTCACTCATGTTGCGGACATATTCATTAACATTTTTTTATATTAAGTGAAATGTTTACAGGCTAGGTTTTCAAATTTCAATTTTAAAAATGTTTGCACCACTAACAACACTAACTCTAACACTAACTCTAACTAACTTTAGTTTTATATCTAGCTAGTGCTAACTCACAACTAACTTCACTCAACTTGATTTAGTGCTAGTGGTTTAGCACCAGTAGCGCTAATCGTAGCAACATGATTACAAGGCAATTTGCAGTACTTTTTTTAGTTATATGTATCATCCTTACAACCGACTGTGTGTGTAGCCGTCATTGTGGGATTTGTACGTATTGAAAAGCTTTTACATCATTTAGAGATTCTTAGCTTTACCGGCGATAGATCCTCAAGCGAATTCAGAAGACACCAAGAAAAAATAATATCTACTTTATTTCAATTTCCCGTCTCTTCCTCTTACAACAAACAAGCTAGCTAAGTTATATATAACACGTTCGATGGCAATTATAAACACAAATTGCTGTATAAACAAGTGTCTAAATTGGATGAACAGTGTGCCTGCCTTTTATTACTGTCATCATTATCAGCATTTGTTTATTTCATGTGCTCATTAATAGCAAATTACCTGGATTATGATCAACGAAATGAAACGCGTAAGCCACAGTACGTCTCAACAGCAGCTAAACAACATTGAGTCAATTAACAATCAAATCTCAAACCTGCTCGTTATCTACTTACAAAGTTTATACAAAGTCTTTCTTAACGAAAATAAAACATCCTAAAACATCCATAATGCACATTTTTGGGGAATCTGTCCATCTACACCTTTAGAGATTCTGGATATATTTTTGGTTTCAGATGAAAGAATTTCAAGGCTACATAGCAGACAGTCGTCTGCCCGGAATCCGCCTAGGAATCTGCATGGTTGATGATTGCAGTGGAGAAGAGCTGCAGCAACTTATAAACACGCGTAAGTAACATGATCTGTTTACGTCCAGTCTAAAGATTTTATATGCTTAGATATGAGCGCACTACTATGTTTCAACAAATTAATTACGCACCTAGGCTTGCCTACTTAGCGTTACACGTCTACATACATGCAGCAATTTTACTCGCCTTTAAACATTTCAATGCGACTAAACGTTTATTCACAAGAAGGTTGATTTAAAACAGCTAAAAACGGCGGGTTTCCACGCTGCAAATTTAACTTATTACCTTTCGTGTATTACGCGATTTTGAGCTATGCACTGTCCGCTGACATTAGGTCATGCAATGTCCACTTAAAATGTCATTTCTTTTTGCATGACATCAATAGCGCAACAACAAACAGGAAAACATCGAGGTTAAAAACTCAGTAGTTTTCTTTTTTCAATCTCCACGATAGGGATGGGCGTGATCTTAAATACACACAACACTATTCGCCGTTCGGGAATCACTTTCAGTTTCATGTTAATAAGTCGGATATTGATACCAGGGAGGAGAATAAAAATGAAGATGATTTCAATCGTAATTTAAATTATGATTTAATCGTGATCGCACATCTCCTTTTCTATGATGATATAAACCGGATGATTTCCGCAAATATATTTCCTAATATGTGTGTATATGTATCTCTCTTTATATATATATATATATAGAGAGAGAGAGAGAGAGAGAGAGAGACAGAGAGCCAGCAACTGGCCAGGGATAGAAGAAGCACTTGCGAGTAACAAAATTAAAACTAAAATATGCCCTTAAAGGGAAAGGTCTTGTGTTGCGATCGAGGATTAGGTATGTATATATACATATTTATATATAATCGCTACAAGTTGACCTCGCAAAAGCTTAAGACAGAGTAGACCAATTTTTCCTTTTTGCACTCTTGAAAAACCTAAATACTGGCGAAATTGTTGAAAATGTCATAGAGCTCTGTTACAAGGACATATCGACGAAGTTATTTCTAAACGGATCTATAACTAAATCTATCTTAGTTCTACGGTCGGTACGCCAAGGTTGTTCACTGTAGCGTTTAGTCTTCAATATCTACCTAGAGCCTCTCTGCAGAAACATCATCTATGACAAAGACATACAAGGGTTTCGCCTTCATGCTTGCAAAGTAAACATCCTGGCTTATGCGGACGACTTGGTCCTGATTTGCTCCAACAAACCAAGCGTCGTGACAGCTATTTCACATGTCACGACTACTGCCCTGTAGCTGGTGCTTTGTTGAACAATGATAAAAGTAGCGGCTCGTGGTGCGCGGCGTGGGGTACAACACCGGCCAAGTTCATTGACATCGAATGGTTAATGAACAAACTGCAGCTTTTAGGCGTGCTGCTAAATTCCATGGAGAATCCGAAACCTATATGGGACTCAGTAAAAACCAAAGTCAAGTCAGTGTTCCTATATGGAAGCTAAGGTACCATTCCGACTTTTCGCAAAGTTGTCCTTTTCAATATTTTCCGTGTGTCAAAGTTAACATATTCTACAGGTCATATACTGTTCTAAGTTTACAGTTAACAAGTGAACAACATTTTTGTAGCGTTTATTTGGAATTCATTTCACAATCCCATGCTGAGATAAAAACTATTCCGGCGAACAGAGTTCGCCGGAAGAATTTTTTCCGGAAGAGTTTAAATCCTGGTTCCGCTCTTTCTTTCGGCTTTCGGCGGTTTTGTAGAAGATTGAATCTCTTGATCAAGTACGGTTTAATCATATGTATATTTTTGATTATTTTTCACTTTGGAGACCACTTACAATGATGAAAAGTACCCGTGATATATATTTAACCTTGACTCTTGATTCTCGCAGAGTATGACGATACCGTGTCTCTAAAGCTGATAAGCACAAATTTACATGTAGATGTGATGAGACGAACAGTGAAAGCATTTCTAAAGCACAACGAGCACGCACAGCAAGCCAACAAGCGTCGTACCGCATTCCACACGTTGGTGCGTGCTTCCAGAACACCTCTTATTGGATACATTTATTTCCTTGCGCATTAACTAGAAAGAAAAGAAAAGACCAGACAGTAAAGGTGGAGTGGTGGAGTGGTTAGCATACCCGATCGGATACAAGGAGGCCCAAAGTTAAAATCCTGTTTCCGCCATTTCTTTTGGCTTTCGGCGGTTTCGTAATATTATTGATCCATTCTATCAACTACGGCTTATTCATGTGCATCTTTCCGGATATTTACAGTTCGCTGACCACGTACGCTGATGAGGAGTGAAAGAAGTTTCATGATATATATTCGAAACGTGGCTCTTGATTCTCCCAGATGATGATGGCACCGGGTCTCTTGAGCTCATAAACAAAAACACGGGACAGATATTTAAGACTTCGTAATTGTAATAATGCGAAAGCATTCCCACGCACAGCGTATTCCTACAAGCAGCGCGCCACATCTTCCTGCTTCGCACGTCGCTCCGGCGGTGACATCACGCTCTCTCGCTGCGCATGCGCGGCGAACCGCGAGGGCTTCACGACGGCTTTTGTGACGAAGCATCCGGGTTACTGTGCTTTTCTTTGTGCTTTATTTCTGAGGCGCGTCCGCTTTGACCTTGAGTTGCGCGTGCTTGATGACATATCTTTATGACCATCTATGGGGCACAACGCCGACGCCTTCTCGCGTAACGAGACAAGTAAGGATATTTTGCTTAAAAAAATGATATATTTGCACGTGACGAGATAAACAGTGAGAGGACTTCCGGAGCACAACGAGCACGTACCAGGTGCCTGCAAGCATCGTAGCGCGTTCCACGCGTTGGCGTAAATAAACTTTTTAAAACCATTGATGTCGTCAGACGTATAAACACTACTTTCGAACTCTAAGTCTCTAAACACGCTGTGAAACCAAAACCGCCGGAAGCGGGTTTTCAGACAATTGTTGCAGGTGCCGTGATAGAATAAAGCGCGTTCACACACTTACAACCGAGTACGACTGAGAGAGGCCAAACCGGTTTTTAAGCCTCTTGCAACGCCTTAGGACCAGCTCCGCAGCATCGCATCCAGTCCTAAGACGTCGCAAAAGGCTTAAAAACCGGTCTTGTCTCTTTCGGTCGTACTCGGCTACAAGTGTGTGAACGAGCCTTAAGCCTCAAGCCTAAAGGCTCGTTCACACAGACCCGTTTGCTTACGTTATACGTTACGAAAAGTCACCGGGGAATCTGTGCTTCGTATTAAAGGGGTTATGACACGAAAATTAAACGGATAGATTATTCTTGAAATGGAATGCTCATAGGCTACTTAGTATGTACACCAAGTGACGCAATTTTTAGAGCTCTGATAATTGCAAAATTCAATTTACGAATTTTTATAATTTTCATCTGGCGACCAGGCAACACTGCTCAAGTTAGTCACACCATGGTGTCCATAAACCACGTGACCATGACCCCTCTTTCATTCTAGGCGCCCCCATGATCGCCCAAGCTCTTCTCGTCGCGGTACGAACAAAACCGCTCAAACAGCTCGGTAAACTGAAAACTATTCTCGCTCTCGCCCCCCGGCCAGTTGGCCTTCCAGCCTGCATGCGCCAGCGAGACATTCCCGGACGACGGTGACCCCGGCGAACTCGTCGTCGCTGGAGCTCGTCGCCAGCGGGTCGCAGTCAAAATGAACAGCTTCCAACGTCCCTTGATAGCAATCACTCTCATCGCTGCTGCGATCAATGTCGAACACTTCGACAAGGCGATCGATGTTGTAGACGTAATCGTCAGAGACCGGATGCTGGAAACGTGGAAGGTAAACGAGGAAGCTGAGGCTCGATACGCCAAGAGAGCCAAGACTGTGAGTGCGTGCAAGGAGGCACCGCGCTGGAGGCTGGCTACGTCATCAGCCTCCAGGTCCGCCCGGATCTGCCCCTCCGAGGGGCCCGCATATAAATCGATTTATCCACGAAATTATAGCGCCTTTTTCAAAACAATTTTAGCAGGATTATGGGAACATACAATGGGTCCTAGCAGTATAGTTATGTAATATTTTATTTTTGGCGTGTCATAACCCCTTTAAGCGTGGCTACCAATTCAAGGAGATAGCCTGGCACGCGACATTCAAGACGCGAATGTTTCGTCCGAACATGTATATTGTTATTTCTCGAGATATTTTAGACACACATGCACACACTGTTTTTCGGAAGATTATTTTCTGAGTGTCCCTTAGATTCGTATCACGAAATATAAAATATAGAGCTATAACCGTTTAGCATTGACGCCTCTTCAAAACCCACGAACGAGCCATCGGCACTTGGTGCTTTTTTCAGTGTATTTAGAGGCTTGGAACTGAAAACGAGAAAATAAACAGCTAACAAAATATATGCTTGCATATATAATGGTGTTAACAAAACGAAACACGAGAAAACTAAAAGGAAATACAAATAGATTTTATATATATATATATATATATATATATATATATATATATATATATATATATATATATATATATATATATATATACCACGCGCTAAAAGTGAAGAAAAAGTGAAAACTATCCTTGTTTCATAATTTATGGTTCAGTGCTTGCACTTGATCTAGATACAAACGTGGCTTAGTGTGAAAGTGAAAACTGAAAATAAAATTTTAATTTTTGGTCACTGTTGTTTAAGGTGGCATATTTCGGGCTTTTTATATAACTTAGCGCGACAAAAAACTAAATCGTACTTAGAATGCCGTTTTACCCACTTGCATATATATCAGTATAAAGGATTATGCAAGCTCTCTCTCATATAGTCCGAAAATTAGCGTGATTCAAATACGCTACACACGACAGTCGTCGTCAAACCCTCGTCGTACTTTCCCGCTTATTTGGAACTTTTTTCTCTCAAGAACTAAGCATATTAAAGCAGTAGAATAAAAATCATTGTTTTTCTTGAAACATGTGGAACGAAGAAGATGTACCGAAAAAGTCCAAGATATATTTTGTAAAAAAATTCTATCCTTTATTATTTAAGATGTTTTTTTTTAATTTATAAATTACACACACTGCGACGAAGCA